AGCATAAGTTAGATCTCCACCACGTTTCTAGTAGAACTGCGCTCAACTCGTTTCTCCGCGCAGCGGCTTTGTTTGTCAAGATTAGTGTTTCGGAGTTGAATTTACACAAGCCGATAAAACATCGAATTTATATCAGTTATCTAAAGACCAATACAATAAACTGCTTATCAACTCTATCACTACATCCTATGAAAAATCAGACTCGCAAATAAATAGTCAGTTAAATATGGAGGGGAAAGTTTTGTTAAAAAATCATGAGATTTTTAGCAGAATTGAAATTAATACACTATCTAACTGCTTTATCACTTTAAAAGATCATAAAGACAATTTTTTAAACAAACCTACAGTCCGCCTTTTGAATCCAGCAAAAAATGAAATTAGAAGGATCAGCAAATTTATTTTATCCAACGTTATTGCTGAGCTGAAAAATACTCTCTCTCTTAATCAATGGAAAAGCACGCAAAACGTTTTAGATTGGTTCAAAGGTATTAAAAACAAACATTTTTATAAATTTTTAATTTTTGACATTGTTGATTTTTATCCTTCTATTAATGAAAGTCTTTTGAATGATGCCATTAAATTTGCTGAGAATTTTGTAACCATTAAAAACGAATACAAACTTATAAATAAACAAGCTCGAAAATCGTTGTTGTTTAATAATGAGCAACCTTGGATTAAAAAGAACAGTGGTTTGTTTGATGTTGCAATGGGTGCTTTTGACGGCGCAGAAGTATGTGAGCTTGTCGGAATTTTTCTTCTTTTTCAGCTATCACAGCATTATAACAAGACAGATTTTGGCTTATACCGAGATGATGGTTTAGCGGTTTTTAAAAATGCTAGTGGCCACCTTATGGACACGATAAAAAAACATATTATTCAAATTTTTAAAAATAACAATCTTTCTATCTCCATACAATGTAACATGAAAGTTGTGAACTTCCTTGATGTAACACTTAATCTCAATGATCAATCTTTTAGACCATTTTGTAAACCAATCAATGAACTAAATTATATACATGTTGATTCCAATCACCCTCCTAGCATAATAAAGCAACTTCCTCGTTCTAAAGAATTAAGGTTGTCAGCTAATTCATCTAATGACACTAGCTTTCGAAGCTCTGCTCATTTGTATCAGGATGCATTAAAAAAGTCTGGTTACAAATTTAAACTTAATTATATTCCGAAACTTATTCAACCTCTACCAAAAAACCGTAAGCGCAATATAATCTGGTTTAACCCCCCATATAGTAAAAATATTTCTACTAAAATTGGTAAAATCTTTTTGGATTTAATTGACAAGCACTTTCCAGTTGGACATAAATACCACAAGATTTTTAATAGAAATACTCTAAAGGTGAGTTACAGTTGTATGCCAAACATGAAATCAATCGTTAACTTTCATAACCGTCATATTATGAAAAGCATCCCCCCAGAATCAGATAAAAGTTGCAATTGTATTACTAAAAGCAAGTGTTCTTTAAATCAACAGTGTCTCGTTAATAACATAGTGTATCAAGCCACTCTATATCCAGGCACTCCAGACGGGATTGAAAAAGTGTATTTTGGAGTAAGTGAAACTGCTTTTAAACTTAGATACGCTAATCATACAAAATCTTTTAAGATCAAAAATATAAAAACGATACTGAGTTGTCTAAGGAAGTATGGAAGTTAAAAGAAAATGGAGTAAACCCGACAATTAAATGGAAAATTTTAAAACGTTGTAGATCTTACAATCCCACAATAAAACGATGCAACTTATGTCTATACGAAAAGTATTTCATAATATCGTACACCTATGATAACTTATTAAATAAGAGGAATGAATTAGTATCTAAATGTAGACATAAAAGCAAGTTCCTCCTTTCAAATTTTGATACGGGTGATTAGGCAGCCGTTTTTAGGTTTTTGTTTTTGTTTTGTTTTGACGACGGAGCACACTCCACTGTAACTTTATATTTTAACGGTTGTTTTTTTTGTTTCTTGTTTTGTATTACATGGCTGATGATTGCCTTTAGGCATGAAACTATTAGTACCATAAAAAGATGTTTTCTTTATTTTTATAAATTAATATAATGCTCTATTAAATAATATAAATAAATCCTATTTATTTATTATTGAGCACTCTTATTCGTTCCCAGAGTTTTTTGTATTTTATTGCAAATACAAAATATCATACAATATAATATATTATATATGTATATATATATATATATATATATATATATATATATATATATATATATATATATATATATATATATATATATATATATATATATATATATATATATTTATATTTATATATATATATATATATATATATATTTATATATATATATATATATATATATATATATATATATATATATATATATATATATATATATATATATATATATATATATATATATATATATATATATACATATATATTTGAAATACTTAAGTTTGCTTTTAAGCTGAAATACTTAGTTTAGTTATAACTTCTTTTAAAAAAAGTAAAGCCCTGCTAGTTTGAATAAAATATAGTTGTTTTTTTTTAAAAACAACTATATTTTCTTTGTTCATGAAGCAGATGTCTTTTTTGACACAGTTGCATGTTTTTCCTCCATCTTAATTTTGACTATGTAGTATTCTAGGATTGTGCGAATTAATGATGGACTTGATTTGTGGCATGCAGGAGTAGCATATTTTAATAGTATTTCAATTAAATATCTTACGAAGCTTGTGACTAAGCGGAAGATGAATTGGTTGAAAGTCTTGGTTCGATAGTTTGAGGAAGGCAATTTACAATACTAGAAGGGTAGTTAGAGTTAGCATTTATATAACTGATGGAATAACCCAGTTTGCAGTATAGTTTAAAAGAGCTGACATTTAAATTTTAAATTATGTACAGATAGTTAACAATTTTAAAGTAACAGCTGATAGATACAAAAAGATCATTGTTTTTATTTAATTTTCACAAATTAATTTTTTAATTTTTTCCATATGTTTGCCATTCCAGTAAAATAATTAAATCAAATAATTTTTTTTCAATTTATCTATTTTTTTTAATCCAGAGTTTTTTTAGTGTTATTAAAATGCTTTTATATTACAGTTTTTAAAAACAATTATAACATCATATGTTAAGCTATAATAAACTTTGTTTACCTTTTTGGTTTGTTTAAATAAGGTCCATCAACATTTGATGATTTAATTGATATAAATAAAATGGACCTTAAATTATTTGCATTTTAATTTACGTTTTGTGCTTTTTCCATTACCCTCGAGAAATGTTTCTTTTTTATGGTGTAATTAGATAATTGCTACTTATAAAGTCTTTGAGAAAAGCTATTAATAGATATCAATCTTTTCTGCACCGACTACCAAAATAATTGGCTCTGAAACAATTTTTGCTTTTTAAAAAAAATATGTCTATATGATTCCAAAATGCAGTTGAAGCATAAAAATAAACTATTTTTGAGAAAACATTTGTTAATACTTTATATTTAGATTTTATAGTTAGTAAGCTTTATTTGCGTATTCATTTTCCTTGCATAAAATAATTTAATAAGAAAAAGGCATTATCAAAATTTGCATAAATGTCTACAAGAAAGGCAAACACTACTACCATTATTTTTTTAAATTTTACTAAAAGTAAATAAATTTTATTTAGGTTTTTTAAAACAAAAAAAATCTATCAAATTGTATGATAAATTATAATAAACTTTGTTTACCTTATTTACTCTATCAAAATTTGATGTGTCTCCTGCATAACTGCATTTTTCTGTTGCTTCTCTCTAAATTAATTATCAATTCAACATCTCTAGTAATAATTATGTTGATAGAAATTCAATGCAAATTTCAAGTTTTAATATGCCAGTTGTTCAATGTATTCGAGTAGTATAGTCCAGATAGCACACAGAAGTTGGCCCAACGTTGGATCAACGTCGAAAAATTCGTTGGCTGATGGTCGGCAACTGACGTTGCCACAACGTGGATTTGGAAGTCGGCGCAATGTCGCAGCCTATTGTTGGGGTGACGTTGGCCGAACGCCTACCTAACATTGGGCGAGCGTCGCATTCTAACGTTGGTCCGACCGAATATTATTATATAAAAGAATTTTTAAAATTTTTATTCAAAAGGTAAGGACGTGCCTACTTTCTTACATAATGTTCATTAAAACTATTACATAGACTCTTTTTTCTCAAAATAAGTTTAAATAATCTTTTTTCGTAAAAAAAAGCAACTTGAAACAGTTTGATACTAACACATATAATCAACATTTGTTGTAATAATCATTAAAATGACGTTAAAATATTTGTACAAATTATACACATATTAAAAATAAAAAATAAATTTTCCGATTGCTTAGCTTCTATACGAACCTTGAGTCTTTAATTTGATGTAAAGGAACTCCAAACGTTTAAACGCTACTTATTATACGATTTGATAGAAATCTCAAAACTTGCATCATTTGTTTGATAAGTATTTAGGCAATACCATAACTGCTGTTAAATTTATTAATATAATTATATATATAAATATATATATATATATATATATATATATATATATATATATATATATATATATATATATATATATATATATATATATATATATATATATATATATATATATATATATATATATATATATATATATATGTATATATATATATATATATATATATATATATATATATATATATATATATATATATGTATATATATATATGTATATATATATATATATATATATATATATATATATATATATATATATATATATATATATATATATATATAATATATATATATATATATATATATATATATATATTATATATATATATATATATTGTACATATATATATATTAATTTTACAAAATAAATCATAAGAAAAACGTTTATAAGAAATATGTAACTATAAAAAACAATAAAAATATTTAAAATATATGTACATAATACTATTTATAGTTAATGTAAAAAATAATAAAATCAAAATCATGTATTGCCTGCATAAACATGAAGACAAATAATCACTTTAGTTTTTCAAATCATATCTAAACAGAAAATTTAAAATAATTGAATAAGCATTGTACTGCAAACATAAGAGTTAACTTGTATCGATATTCCTTTGAACAAATATTAGTAGAAAAAAATTGAAAAAAGTCTGAGTCTGATCTGAAATAATGTTCATTAAGATCATTTTCAAATTGATTATTATTACATGGCACAGTAAAACTCTCACTAGCATTGTCATTACCACGATCATATATATTGTCATCATAACAAACACTCCAACAACCATTAGAACCATTACTGAAAAACAAATAATTTTTTTGATCACAACTTTCAACATAAATTTCTATAATATCATTATCAAATTGCTTCCTAACTTTTCATTTTAACGATCTATTTGAAGCAGCCCTCTAAATTATTGTTGGAATAAAACTTAGTATAATTTACAACATAATTTATATTTTTAGAAGCCTAATATTGTTATTCTATAGTAATGCAAAAAAACTCAACTTTTATCATCCAATCATTAGACGATAAGTTATTTAAGGTATTTTAGGATAATTTAAATTCATGTCAACAGACGCTTAAATCAGTTCAAATACTGCAAATGATGTTAGGAAATAATAATAAAGTATAATATTTTTAATCTAAAAAATATCTTTTAAAATAAAAAAAAAGTATTAGAGCATAAAATGTAGTCTTGATGCAAGATATAGTAGCTTTATAAAACCCTAACATATACATTACAACGGAAGCAGTATTTTACGCATTCAAAAAATATATAATTGCTATTTTAGGTTAAAAATAATACACTAAAGTCACACTAAACTTAAACACGGTAAAATCGAAAAAGTGCGTCTCATCGCGCTATTTTATAAACAATTTTGTACAAAGCTCCTGCAATCAATAATGCTCCATGAGGAGACATAGCAAATGCATAATTTTAATTCAGATCCTCATATAAATTTTGGTACACTTAAGTTCTTGATAAATTTTACTCTTTAAAATAATTAAATAAATTTCTGGACATGTTTCTTTACACCTAAAATATATATACTTTTCTTCTTTACACCAAAAATATATATACTTTTTTATATTCTGCACCCAATTTATTTTACTTACTGTTCCATTTTATATAAGAACCCTGTTATTATTAAAATTTTATTTAAAAATATGAGAAAAATAATTAATTACATAAAATTCATACCAAAAATCTAACATTAATGGTAGTAAGAACATAACTACTTGTTTCAAATAAGCACATGTATGAAAATAAAGTACTCAAAACCTGTGCTCTCTAAGCCACAATTAGTGTGGTTTTATGTCACAACCAATTTATTGCGTGATTCAATCATTTTTTGTTCCTTTATAAACATTTCTTCTCGTAATTCAACCATTCTGAGTTCACAAGACCACTTCTTCTAACTTTAATTCAATCTGTTTAATAATTAAAATAATACCTTCACAACCTTAATACTTAACTAAAAGCAAAAATTTATACAAATTTAATCAAATCATTTTTTTATTTTGCATGAAACTTTTTGAAAACGATGCTTTAACAATCTAATTATTACCTACAAACAGAAAACTAAATAATTATGTACTACTTAAATAAACCATTATTTAAAAAAAATTTAATACTTTGTATTAAAACTATATATTCCCAGTAAGCACAAAGACGTTTAAAAGACGTTTTAAAGATGTCTTTAAGGAGGTCTAAAAGGCGCACTTGTAGACGTCTAGATCATAAGGCTAAAAGACGTCTAAATGAAGACGTCTTTATAAAAACGCGTTTTAGACGTATGTTAAACGTTTTTTTCAAGATAAATTTAAGTACATGACATAACATTTTTGCGTAGTATGTGGTATATATTCATTGTATTTATAACATCATATATTGTTATAATTTCGTATATACAAAATATACATAGGAACCAGCAATCAAAATAATATTGCTGTAATCACCACCAACGGTAGATGAAAATAATAAATAACAATAATAAATATATATCAAAACAGGGTTAAAACATTTATAACTTATCTTTTGTTATATAAAATTTATTATACGTTGTGCTAGCTAATTTTTGACCGCATACTTGACTTAGTATAAGGCTTGTGGGTGTATAAAAACTAAAAGTACTGATATTTAACTTATATATTATTCTTGTCATTTTCACTTATTATCATGATCAGTCAACTATCTAATAAAAAAGCAAAATAACTATTAATAAAAAAAAGATATATTATTATAATAGCAATTATTTTAGTGATTCCTGTGACAACAATTTTAGCAATTGTGTAAAAAAGTAATTTAATTTAAAGTAATTTACACTTAAAACTTGAACAAATTATTGAAGATAATAATAATGTTTTTACTTTGAATATGCGACATCTACTTAACGCGTAATGACAAAGCCGTCAAAAAGAAGTCATAATGACCTATTTATAAACAGGTCTCAGAAAAGACGTCTTTTAGCTTTGATCTAGACGTCTTTTAATGCGTATTTTAGACTATTTATTACGCGTCTTTTAAACGTCTTTTTAAACTTTAAAAAGACGCATTTTAAACGTCATGTTAAAATCGCATTTATTAAAGACGTCTAGAAGATGTTTTAAAAAAAGATATCTTCTAGACGTTTTTTTAACGCTTAAATAGACGCCTTTTAAACGTCATTTTAAAAACGCCTTTATAAAAGACGTCTAGAAAATGTCTTAAAAATTGACGTCTTCTAGACGTCTTTTTATCTTTTAAAAAGACGCCTTTTCAACGTTATTTTAAAAACGCATTCTTAAAAGACGTCTAAAAGATGTCTTTAAAACGTCTATAAAAGTGCGTTTTTACCTAGACTAGTTTTAGACGTCTATAAGTGTCTAAAATGCGTCTTGTGCTTACTGGGTTTATACATTTATACACTTTTGCATCATGCTTTCATGATTTATGTTTATATCCAATAATACTTATGATTGTTTTAAATTTTCAGCAGTAAAATTCTATATAAGTATGCTCATATAACAAAAAATAAAAATTGTACATTAACCAGTAAATTTTAAGTGCTATGCTTGTAAATAAAATTTCTTGCAAAAATTATTAAAATTGATTTAAAATATTCGTTTAAACTATAGTTAAACGAATATTTTAAATCAATTTTAATAATTTAAATAGTTAACATAAACGTATAAAAGTTCAATTAGCATTAATATAAAAAATTTACAGAAAGATGAGAGAAAAAAAGATTGACATAAATTTTGAAAAAAAAACATAATATATTTGCTTGCTTAGTAATATGATACATCAAATTCATAATGACTTTACATAAAAATACATCAGTTATTAATATCATTATGATCTTGTTATGATAAAGGTTATGAAATCTCAAATTTGTTTTAATTTAAATATGAATTTATAGCAACAAAGTTCTCAAATAAAAAAATTGCGCTAAATAAAAATACAACAGCATTTAAAAACGGCAAAAAACTATTTGAACATTAAAACCTGTAACACACAACACGCATTTTAAAATCTGTTGTAATCCGACGTTGGCCCGACATTGGATCGACTTTAGCGCGTAAATTAAAAAATTGTCCAACGCTTCCGACGATGATCCGACGTTGGCCAACGTAAATGCCTGCTAGCTGGGATGCTCACTATCAGAACAAAAAAAAAACTGTGATTGCTGACCATGCACCTAAGTCGTGACTCTCAAAGTTAAACCTACAATCAATTAATAAATAAACAAGTAATTAATTTTCAAGTGTATTTTACTAAATGTTTTAAATTTTAAAGTATAATGTGATATGCAATATAAATATAACAAAATAGGTGGATATTTCACTATTTATCACTTTATCTTACATTTCTCCATTAAATCCATGCTTTCTTTTCATGACGTCTTAAAGTATTTGCTTTTTATTAGGATTTCGAGAAACTCTTCCAATAGATATAAATCTATTTGGCCCAACGTCGGATCAACATCGCAAAAAACGTTGGCCGTTGGTCGGCAACTGATGTTGCCATACGTAACTTAGAAGTCGGTGCAAAGTCGCAGTCAACCGTTGGGCTAATGCTGGTCCAACGTCGACCTCTAACATTGGGCGAGCGTCGCATTTTAACGTTGGTCTAACGTAATATTATTATAAATAAAAGTCTTTGACATTTTTACTCAAAAAAGAATTACGTGCTTATTATTTCTCACGTAATGTTTATTAAAACCATAAGGTTGATTTTTTTTTCTCCAAATAAGTTGTAACAAACTTTTTTCGTGATAAACATTAATTGGTTTTTATGCTTAGTAATGAAAAACCTTATATCTTTGGAAAGTCAAGTGAACCTTACAATAACACAGAAAATTAAAATTTATTGTTATAACCATCATAATGAAGTTAAAATATTTATACAAACTATGCACATATAATATAGAGTATAAATAAAAATATTTTTTTCAACTGCTTAGCATCCTGACAAATCTTAAATTTCTAAATTTACTGAGGAGCAATTTTGACGTTTAAACGCAACTCATTATACTACTTAAAAAAAATTTCAGAACTTCCATCATTCTTTTGATGAGCTTTTAGGCAATCTCTTAACAACTGTTAAAACTATAAGTATAATTATATATATATATATATATATATATATATATATATATATATATATATATATATATATATATATATATATATATATATATATATATATATATATATATATATATATATATATATATATATATATATATATATATATATATATATATATATATATATACATGATATTACAAAAAATCAATCAAAAGTTATATTTATTTATTCTCGGTGTTTGTAAGAATAAAAATTTCACATGGAAAAATTATATTGATACCGTGCAACAAACTTTCTAAATTTATTGAACTTTTATTCAATATTAAAGCATTATAATATATAAACGTAATTGTATAATGTTTCAATATTTAAACAAACATGAATTAAATCAATTTAATATTCAATTATTAAATGCTGTCTCAGTTGTGTAAATATTGCAAAGGAAGCGCTTATAAAAAATTAATTAAATTCTCTTTATCCGTAACTTAAGATTTAGCGCAACTAAAAAATTATGAAGATCGTTTTACTCATGCAAAACCACTTTTACTCGAAACGATTTTTTAAAAAACACTAATCAAGTGATTTTAATGTTTATAATTTTTAAAAGAACAAAAATATATATATATATATATATATATATATATATATATATATATATATATATATATATATATATATATATATATATATATATATATATATATATAAATTGTATGAAAAAGGTTTGCAAAAAGTTACGCTTTGCAAAACCACTTATACTCGAAACGATTTTTTAAAAAACACTAATCAAGTGATTTTAATCGCAGTCTTTCTCAGACAAAATCAATTTGTGGCCTTTCTTAAACAACGTACGTTGTTTTGGAATAGGTCTTTGAGAACAGTTTAATGAACAGACATATCATATACGCGCAGTTTAAAAAATATCATTATACGCGCAGTTTAAAAAAATTGAACATTAGGATAGTTTACTAAATCGTAATTATATTATTAATGGAATTAAACTTTGTCGAGACTAGTTATAGGTTAGATTCTAAAATTAAATATCAATCCTAAAAATACTACGCGATAAATGTAAATATTATTTTTTTTTTTAACTTTTTGTTATTTTAAAAGAAACTTTTACTATACTACTGTATAATATAAAGTCAAGATATTTTAGTAAACTTTTCATGTTCTAGTTTAAAAACAATTTTTTTTTTTTTTTTTTTTTTTTTTTTTTTTTTGTATACGTTATTAGAAAAATTTTAATATTTGAAAACAAACCTCTTAAATATTTAGTAATGCATACTGATTTCTAAAATGAAATGTATTCAAATAAAATTTTTAATCAAGTGATTACAAAGTATGACTGAAAACAAAAAGAAATTTTTAACATAAAGCAATGAAAAAATAAAACAGTTCAAATCTTCAAGTAATAACTATTTTGTACCATGTAACATTGTTTCTTTTTTAAAAGTAGAGTTATCAAGTATTAGTCTCATATTTTTTTATTTGTACAAATGCTTATTTTTAATGTCTTTTATTTTTTCTAATCATAAAAGCTGCATGAAAAAAAAACTTTAGACATGATTGTTAACTGAAAATTGTTACATAGTTATTTAGCAAAAAAATTAAAGTAAGTGTTACTGTGTTATACATATATATTGTTACGTAACTAAAAAGTTTTGCAAAAAAATATTTGTATCCAGCTTTACTAACCATAAACTTGGATTTCGTTAGTATGCATGTATTTAGTTTTGCAAGACTGTTTGTAGAGTAACAGGGTTTATTAAGCATTTTTTATAAATTGTCTTTGCTTTTTAAAAACTTTTTTTTTTTTTTTGTTACCCAAAAATAATGAAACAAAAGTATTAAACTTAAACTTTTAACGTTCTTAACTGATTGAGAACAAATATTTTA